GGAGAACCCTGGACAGGGTGTCGACTCCGAGCAGAGCGAGAGACTGGTTGGCCACCAGGTGGCGGCAAAGCAGTGGACCAAAGGGAATGTTCAGGAAAGCATTTGGGAGTTGTATCAAGATGCATGCAGGCGCAGGGCTACTGGGTGTAAAGAACAACTGAGTACTTACAGGAGATGATTACGAGCAGCTGTTGCTCGTTAAGATCTCCTCCTGCTGATAAAAGAGACTGCTGGTGCCATGCCCTGGTTGCAGAAGTCAACGTTCTCGTTCGCGTTCATAAATCGAGAGAAGCCAACTTGGATAAGTGGCTTGAGATAGAGAAGCCTGGTTGCAGTGTTGTGTGAGTTAAAGGACTTTTGCCAGAGCAATTATCTTTGTTTCTTTTGGGCTCGCAGGCAGGAAGAGCCGGGACTGATTAAAACATTCTTTCATACGTCTGTTTGGCTTTCGTTCCTGAACGGAAAAGGGGGGGGGGGTCAGAACAGTGAATTATGGAATTTAAGGGCCAAATTGTAGCATGGCATGAAAAGGATTCTGGTGGGAATGATCACCTTTTCTGAGGCCAAAATCTGACTTTGAAAGAAAGCATTAATAAAATTGGGATTGGGAGGGAGAAACTTAATAAAGAGTGAATGATTTTTTTCAATGTTATTTGTTTGTCCTACAGGATTGGGCGGCATATAAATTTATTAAAAGTTAAAGTTAAAGTTTTTCATTTTGTCATATTGAAAATTCCAATTTGCTACTAGCGTTTGTATGGATTTGGAAGCAAGCTCACATTTTCCAGATTGGTGGGCACAGGTAGCTCTCTGATTCTGCATGTTACAAACCTCTGGATTTCTAAGGGAGTTCCCTTGCAAAATCTTTATTGCCTAGAATTGCCATTTCATTATTTTGTGAATGAGATTAGCAATAGCAATAAGACTTCTATACTGCTTCACAGTGCTTTTACAGCCACCTCTAAGCGGTTTACAGAGTCAGCATATCGCCTCAAACAATCTGGGTTCTCAGTTTATCAACCTTGGAAGGATGGAAGGCTGAGTCAACCTGAGTTGGTGAGAATCAAACTGCTGGCAATGGACAGAATTAGCCTGCAAAACTGCATTCTAACCACCAAACAGAAGAAGCTTTAAAGACATTTGAAGCTGAATAGTTCTGTTTATGTGTGAGGGAATATTTGATAGTTAGCCATATCCAGCAAAGTTGTAGTCAGGGATAAGTAATGAAAAAAATAGATTTTTGGATCTAAATAATTGAAATTAATATGTTTCTTTCATGGTATTAGAATGATCATTAAAATTTATCCTAATAATATTGGCTAAACACAGACAAGGTACTAATTTGGATCCAGTATTATACCTTTCATCTTCTTGTATTGCACTGAGTGAATGGAACTAAGTCCCAAATAACCATTTAAGTCAGCTCCAAAGATCGGAGAAAGAGAGATATAGTTGGATGGTTCAGATAACTTAAGTGGCAAGGAGTTGAGTAGAAATTGCAAATATTAAGGGCTAAAGTTATATAGGTGATGGGGGGGGGGGAGAATTCCTTACATATTCCCAATTCCCTACACAGGGCTACAGTTTCCCCTTGTCCTGTAAAAATTGAATGGTTAACTGCTTAATTATTAAAAGCAACACCACTTTGCTCCTACTTCATCAGCTTTCACGTTTTCCCTGAAAGAAGGGAACAGGTGATATAATGTAACACTTCCTTACATCATGAGTAGAAGAAGCTAGCTAGCTCATGCCTTTCCTCTTCTGAATGCCTTTGAGCTCCTCACATTACAAGGGATTAAGACATGGTATTTACCCTCCTACCCTTCTCAGGTGATGTAATCCTAAAATGAGAGTGTGTTCCCTAACCCTGCAGTCTGAAATTATCTGGTGAAAATGTACAGACAGTCCTCAATTTATGACCATTTGTTTAATGACTGTTCAAAATTATGAAGGCACTGAAAAAAGTGCCTTACAATCAGTCTTCACACCTACAACTTTTGCAGTATTCCTGCAGTCACATAATTGTGATTTGGGTATTTAGCAACTGGCATATATTTATAATGGTTGTAGCGTCCCGGAGTCACATGATCACTATTTGTGACCTTCCTAGGGGGGTTCTGACAAGCAAACTCAATGGGAGAAGCTGGATTTGCTTAATGACTATGTAATTTGCATAACGACTCCAACAAAAATGGTCATAAAATCAATTGTATCTCATCTAACACGCGCTTCGCCTAACAACAGAGGTTCCGATTCCAACTGTGGTCGTAAGTTGAAAATACCTGTGCTGTGTAACTTCTTTAAGGACATCAGTCTAAAAACCCACAAAAGAATATATTTAAATCCTTAAAACCTAGTAGCACTCTAGAGTCATTCCTGACTCTAGGGGGTGGTGCTCATCTCCGTTTCAAAGCCAAAGAGCCAGCGCTGCCCAAAGATGTTTCCGTGGTCATGTGGCCATGACTAAACCTAAGGTTCCCGGAACACTGTTACCTTCGCCAAAGTGGTCCTTATTTTTCTATTTGCATTTTTACATGCTTTCGAACTGCTGGGTTGACAGAAGTTGGGATGAGTAACGGGAGCTCACTCCGTTATCTGGTAGTAGGGATTCGAACCGCCAAGTTGCTGACATTTCTGAGTGACAAGCTCAGCATCTTAGCCACTGAGCCACCACGTTCCTCTAAAATGCAGACATGATACTATTCAAACTTACAGAATTTATTATGAAATTACCTACTATTAAAACACAATAGTCATTTTAGATGCATTTAGAATACAGAAGCAGATATTTTAGGTTTTTTTTCAGCCTTCTGTCCCTTTCGCTGCAAGGATCATCTTAAGTTCAAAGTCATTTTACAGACATCTCAGAAAAAAACAACAAAAGAAAGGAATGCATTGAAAATGTATTGATTGTTTTGAAGCAACAGTGATATCTGGATATAGACATGGCTTTCAAAGTCTCAAAATAAGTTCTTAGTTTTTGATGATATAACAGTGTCAGAGAGTTGAAGTCTCATTCTTCCTTTTGTATTCAAGAATTAGGTATCAGTTTTTACACATCAAAACTTTAGAACTCACATAATGGTGATTTTGAAATAAATGTTATAATCTAACAGCCATTGATTAATTTAACTTGTGCTTTAAATTTGATAGAAATTTCAGTACTAATTAATGCTTTATTATCACATACAGAGTGAGGATGACTTTGCTGAGAAGATGAGAAGCAATGAAATACTACAGCGATCTATCACCACCTATGGTGAAGTGGCCAATCTGCCAAATGTCCCTGATGTTCTAGTAAAGATGACACTGAAACGGCGGGCAGACAGGCAGCAGTTTCTTGGTAAGTTTCTGAAACTATACTTACCAGTGGCCCAAATGTTGAAAAATGTTCCATGTTTTCATATCCAGAAATTTGATATTCTTGTGCAGTTTCCAAGCTCCGAAGCTTATGAGCATCAGGCAGGATGGAAATTTATTAAATTAATTTGAATACCTCAAAATACCTCTCAGTCTCTTAAATGTTTATTGTAAACCATCTAGAGTCATTTAAAGTAGGTAGGATGGGTGGTGTATGAAAGAAAGAAAGAAAGAAAGAAAGAAAGAAAGAAAGAAAGAAAGAAAGAAAGAAAGAAAGAAAGAAAGAAAGAAAGAAAGAAAGAAAGAAANGAAAGAAAGAAAGAAAGAAAGAAAGAAAGAATAGATGATGGATGGATGGATGGATGGATGGATGGATGGATGGATGGATGGATGGATGGATGGATAGATAATCCTGCAACAAATTTCTATTGAATCTGAAAGTGGCATTTGAAGAAAATTGCATTGGACAAATTATCACTTAAGTAGCAATTGTTAACTGACTGGTATTTCAGAAATTCCTAAATTCAGCAATTCCTACAAGCCAGTTTGGTCTAGTAGTTAAGGTACAGGCTAGAAACTAGGAGACAGTTCTAGTTCCCACTTAGGTATGAAAGCCAACTGGGTGACTTTGAGCTAGTCATTCTCTCTCAGCCCAACTCACCTCATAGAGTTTTTGTTGTGTAGAAAATAGGAGAAGGAAGGCATAATCAGGTGGAAGGAGTATTAGATATGTTTGCCATCTTGAGGTAATTATAAAAATAAATGAAATAATAAATAAACAAAATAAATCAGATAAAAAAATGAAATAATTCAATGAAATCTAATGTTATGAACTAGTAATTAAAATTAACGGCTTTTGTGAGGAGTCAGGGTGTATCCAGCCTCACTTCTTTTCACTGCACAAATGCACAATGTTACCCTCTTTCTGCCTGAGATTAGAAACAAATCACATTAGTTCCTGAGAAGTATTTGTCCTCATGAATTTCTGCCTAGGTCTCGTCTTTTTCAAGTTATACCTAAGAATGTCCCAGAGAGTAACTGAAGAAACAGGTTAAGCCTATTCAAATCAGATAGTCCAATGACGGCAGGATCTTTCCAAGTTGCAGACTTTTGGTAACTGTTATCACTTTCCCCTCTGAGAACTCATGTTGGGGAAACGATAGGTGGAGAGAAATGTTTTTCTGTATTTGTGGGTCAAAAGTGCTGCAGCTGCACTCTTGCCAGCTTTGGCAAATGCTGTGGAAATTTGAAGGTGTGCTGAAGCTGCCCGACTAGAGAATTCTTGACTCATGCTGAAAATCTTCTTATGCTTTTGGGAAGGCTATGAGTAATCCTCACAGCATGTGCTGAAGCTGTCCAGAACATAAGTGGCCAATGCATATAGAGAATGCTAAGATGAGCCTTCTCCTGCAGCTTAAAGCAATTGGAGGTAATATAAACTGTTTTGTCAAAGTGATTCATGTTACCGCTCACATCTACAAAGAGAATCTGGTCACCTGCTTGCACAAATCTCTTTGTTAAAATGAATCAAATACAAGGCTAATGCAAATACACCTGTCTGTTTCCAGTGGCTAAAATTGCAGTGTACAGGCTTAAAAACTGAAGTTTTATTGTGCAAAAATAAATCATTTTCACAAAATGCATTTCAACTAATCATTCCCAGGAGCATTATATTACATATATAATTTACATTTGAATCATTAAAGGTAGTAATTTTCCTAGTTTTATTCTGACGTAGCCTATGTAGTTTCAAAGATATACAAGCAGCAAGCCTTTCATTAAATAGTGTGATAATTGTGAATACTGTGATTAAAGTCAGTTTATTTATATCTATAATGGATGCAGTTGAGAAAAAAGGCCAACAATTTTGAACAGGTATTATTGTCCAAAAGGAGAATGGTGAAAATGCTTTGATTGTGCACTAGAGGTCTCCAAAACACTAAGCAATGCAAGCATAGTTTTCTAAGGCCTTAGAAGTGTAAGTTTTACACATATTCTAATGTTTAATAGCACATAGTCTGTTTTATTATTAAACAATCTTAATTTATTTTGCTAGCAAAGTTCCTGTATTCCAAGTTGCTTCTTCATGTATGTAGCCAAGTTGCTTTTTTATTGTTTCCCCATCAAATTAGGTCGCATGAGAGGTTCGTTAGTTACACTACAGAAACTGGTTGACCTGTTTCCTAATGATACTTCATTCAAGAACAACCTTGGAGTGGGTTATCTTTTAATTGGAGACAACAACAATGCCAAGAAGATTTACCAGGAGGTGAGCTTCTATTAAGTACAGATAAATGATTCCAAAAATAATATATATGTGATTATGCAAGTCTTTATATATAAGAACCATGCATTAAAATAACCTAGGTAGTGGATAAAAACACTAGCTATAAGTAATTAATTAATTGTATTGCCTATTTATTTTCACAAATCTAGAAACATCATTTGGATATTCTCTAAGGTATTAATGGGCAATGCCTATAAGCCTTAAAAGTAGTTTTTGCTATTTATATGCTTTTTTCAAATTTTAGATCCTTAATTTTTATATTTTTTACTCTTTTTTTCTTCCATTTAGATAAGGATGACATATTCAGGGCAACACCATAGCTTTCTTTAGTCAATCAAACCCAGCTATGTGACAGTACAGCTACAAATAAATTAAGCAAGTTGAGAATGAGGATAGTGCTTCTGAAATAATCATGTCTCAATAAAAGAGAATATTTGTAGCTCATGAGGTTAAAATGAGGGGTCCTTGATGTTCAGTGAACTTGGTTATGTTTTTTCAGATGTTTCATTACTTAAACGAGGTAACATAGGGGTGTCAAACTGGTGATCCACGCGCCAGATACATCACGCGTAGGCCATGCCCACCCTAGCTCCATGAAGGGGGAAACCATGATATGTCATCAAAACACTGATGATGTTACCTAATATGGGTAATGAAAAATCTGCAAGGAATAACCAATAATAAGTTCAGAGAGCACCAAGGACCCCTCATAGTCATCTCTCTCTGTTGGTCTGTCAATCTGTGTCTCTATCTATCTGAGAAAAGCAATCTTGCATGGTTTTCATGAGATTTTATGAAATTTTATTATTTATTATAATAGCAGCGCTGGCACCATGGCAACTCTGAGTGCCATAATGTTTCACCATAATATACTCCTTCACATACATGAATTGGAATAAGAAGTTGTAGGTGAGCTGCAAACTGACAGAAATCTTTTCTGTCGTCTTAAAATGCTTTTAACTACTGTTCTCAATAGCTTTAACTAGCAAGATCAATGGTAAAGTCATGTAATCCGTCAGATGTTAAAGAGCCAGATGTTAACAGCTTGACTTCAGTGTTAGTCAACCCTTCAATTATTCAGACCTGTGTTTTTTTTAAAAAAATCTCACTCCTTCAGTGAAGAGGCTAAGTAGTAAAAATTAAATCAAAGAATTATATGTCTTTAACTGGAAATCAATCTGATGGGAAATGTGCCCTATTTCTGGGAAATGTTTTATGAGACCATCCATTGTATCACAGCTTGGAGGCAATGTTAAAAAAGGGGTAGCATTTCACTTTTTCCCCCCATTATATATTTTTCTTTTTACTGTCATAGTCTGGAACTGAACACGATACATTAAAGATACTCTTTGTAAGAAATCAAAGCTGCTTTTGTTTTCAAACAGCAATTGATCTTGTTTTTACTTTTTTCAAGGGCTTCCTCTGTTGTACAAGAAATCTGAAGACATGTTTTCGCTTATTCAGGTTATGCTAGTGCTCCGAACCGTGCATGTAATGGCTAATGGAGTCACTTGACTATTACAAGGAAAATTCTCCTATCAAACAGACATGTGGTGTTCTCTGTACTGTTTGACACCCCATCCTCCATTAAATCCATTGTACAGATATCAAATCCAACATTCAGAATTCTTAAAATGCATCTGAATAAAATTCATTTCTATGAGAAATTTCATTTCTACTGTATTCCATCTGAGAGGCAAAAAGAAAATGGTACCGAAACCACTGTCTTCCATTGATATTGAGTTTTTTTCTTCTTTCTTGTAACATTTCACATCTGCTGCCAAGTTTGAATTTCTCTGTTTCTACTGGAGAAGAAAGTGACATATAGCAGGGACTTGAACATCATGACAACATCACTTTCTGCTTTTTAAAAATTTGTTTATTAGATTTATAGTCTGGTGCTTTTTGTGTGTGTAGGAACTCAAGGTAGCAAACATTGTGGTCTTCCTTCCTATTTTTCTTCTGTAAGAGCCCTTTGCAGTTCATTGGACTGAGAAAGAGTGACAGGCCCAAGGGTCACCCAGTGAACATCTATGAGTAGAGTAAACTACAGCCTAGGCCTCCCTACTCATAGTCCAGAACCTTAACCAGTACACTCATGGTCTGAAATAGCGCACCTGAACCAAAGTTCCCCAGGGGCTGAGTAGGGACTAGAATCTGAGTCTGTCAGCTGCTAGTCCCATTCGAGAGTTCATAATGCTATGAGATAAAGAAAAGAGAAGGACTGATAGAAAAAAGTGCATCTTTAGGTTTTCTAAAAGGCTATAAATCGATGTTTTAGAAAGCTACAGAAGTGAAGCCGTAATTATTATTTGTTTTGTTCTCCCTTAGGTTCTAAGCCTGGCTCCTAATGATGGGTTTGCGAAAGTTCATTATGGATTCATTCTGAAGTCAGAGAACAAGATTGAAGAAAGCATTCCTTATTTGAAAGTAAAATTTACATTATGACTTTTATCTTTTTCTATTTCAGAAAGCAAAAGATGTTGCCCAAAGAAGGGCAATTGGGATGTCATGTATTGTATAGGATCCGATGTGAAATACTTAATAGTAGAGATGTCTTAAAGGCCATTGGTGTGTGCTATGTATCTCCAGATTTGGGACTTCTAGTAATCATATAATGTTTTTTCCAGTTTTCTAGCCACCCTGTTCAAAAACTAATTCATATTTCCCTTTTTGTGACGGTTTTTCTGAAGTAATCCTCTTTATGGTAAAATAGTACGTTAACACATGTTGAGTTATAGGCAACAATGTTTTTCACCTATGAACACTTGGGAAAGAAGTATCTTGTGTTGCAGGGAATAGTTGGCTTGGAGATCTCAATACACTGATAATGTTAGGAATGATTTTAAAATGACTTATCAGGTAATTGATGGGGTTTCTTTTTTTTTCTAGGAAGGTCTAGAATCAGGCGATCCTGGCACTGATGATGGCCGCTTTTATTTTCATTTGGGTGATGCCATGCAACGAGTTGGAAACAAGGAGGTAGGAAGACTACTGACTTGATTTGAAAAAGCAAACTAGACCACAGCCATAGAGGGGAGGGGTAACTTAGTCCTAAAGACAAGGAACCTGACAAGAGAAGACGAACATCCCTATCTTGCTGTACAGGAAGTACTTTGCTGCCTCTTCAATTGTATGTTTTGATCAACACTCAGAACTTAACTAGAGGCAATGCTATTAATATCTTTAACATTGGAGTGGCTGTTCTGTGCCTATAAAAAGTTTAACAAATGAATAAATAGCTGGCATGGAGGCTTTGGATAAACCTCTGACTAATATTTATTCCTTATACTATAATTTCTTTCCAGTTATTAAAAGTTGCAGCTGAACAGAAAAGTGGCATTCCCTTCCTTCCCTTCCTTTTAAGTTATCCCCTCCCTATTAAGTTTAGCCCAAGTTTTGGCTAAAAGCCATGATTTTGGTACTAATCATGCGAATCTATGGAGGAATCATGCAAATGCTATTTCAGAGATGGCTTATTGCACATAGAATCCAATTGACAACCAGTACAAATCACAAAGCATAGACATTATAAATATAATGAGAGCCAAGGTGGCACAGTGGTTAAATGCAGCACTGCAGGCTACTGCTAGATCAGCAGGTCAGCGGTTCAAATCTCACCGGCTCAGGGTTGACTCAGCCTTCCATCCTTCCGAGGTGGGTAAAATGAGGACCCAGATTGTTGGGGGCAATATGCTGACTCTCTGTAAACTGCTTAGAGAGGCCTAAAAGGCCTATGAAGCGGTATATAAGTCTACTGCTATAATATGGCCTGCACATTACTGTTTAAGCCACTGGATTTTGGACTGTCTGTATCTTCCAAATGGTTTTCAGGGAAAGCCCTATGTAGATTACAGTCCAACCACAAGGTGATTAAGGCATGAATGATTATTAGAATGGCCTTTTAATCCAGGTTAGGGCACCCTTGATGTGCAAGAGAATCTATGGAAAGGCCCTCCTCCTGGCCACTTTCTGCAACCTGCTGTTCAAAGAAGAACTGTGAGTTCAGAAGGACCTGCAGATTGCATGCTAGACTCAACCCAGATTCTGCACTCCCATTAAAAGCTGAAGAAGAAAAATCTCTCATAGCTGGGCCCAAACATACACAGTTACTCAGTCTGATTACGTTTAAGGTCCAGCTTGTTCCTCTTCATCGAAATCTTCAGTGCCATCAAGCACTGGGATATGACTTCAACAGCATCATTTAGCCAGCCCACAATTGAGATATACTGTTGTGTATCGTTGATATACTGAGAATATCTGGGCCCAAACTGATGGATGACCAGACTCAACAGCCTTATGTTGATGTTAAATGGTGGGAGAAGAGTATTTAGTCCTGAGGTTTCCCATAGATCAGCTCAAATTATCTTTTTCCTGTTACGAACATGACAAATCAGGCAATCAAGCTGTGTTTATTTGGTATATTCATTAGTTTCAGTGTGATTTATATTGTATATGTTATTCAATGGATAATCTAGTTTGGAACAAAATTAGTGTTCATGAAAAAAGATCTCCTTTGGTCAAAACATGCCACTGAATTTATCACTATGAGTCAGTTCTGAATGAACACAAAGAAATCCTGACGATGTTCAAATTCAAGATTTCATCAAAGAAAGCAATCAGTACATAAAAATTTGTAATCTCCATTACTAAAAATATATGTTCATTATCTAAGGTTGCAGTCAGGACTAAAAATTAAGCTACTGATGTTTTGAAAGATTAATTAAAAATCAGTACTTTTACATAACTGGCTAAAGATTTTTTTAGTTAAACTGCTCTTAGCTATATAATGCCAAAAATGGATACAAGCATTCTTAACTGCAGTTGTAGGAAATATATCCTTCTGGTCTGACTCTCTACCCCAGGGGTATCAAACTCAATCCGCCCCCGCCCCCCAAACCCAGCCAGCCCACAGAGAAGTACAGTGCTGATCCAGCCATCAAAGAAATCCAGTTTGACACCCTGCTGTAGTCCAATCTTACCATTTGAATAAGAAGGTGTGAAAAATAGTTTTAAATGCTTTTGATATACTAGCAATGCCTTATACAATATAGGACCCTATAACATAAGAGTTCTGAATTCTGTGCTTTAAAAAATACAATGTAACTCACCTTCAAATTGCCCTGGTAAATCCAAGGAGATCAGAGGTCTTGAAAAGTTGAAGTGAAGCACATATCTTTTCTCATCTCCATAATTATAGTTATAAAGGGGTTTTAATGCAATAAAAATTGGCATATGAAATAAGCTCCTGCTTATTCACTAGATGGCGGAAGATGAGGCTTTTCAGAGCCCTTTGCACTATCCCAAATAGAGAAGCCAAGTTTTGACTTTCATGCTTGACATTTCAGTTAAATGCACACGAAGGAGTTCTTATACTTGATGCCACTCCAGATAACTGCTATTCATTCTTTTGGTTCTGACAACATTATTCATAACAAAGTAATGCTTGTCTTTGTTTTGCCAGAAGAGAAGGCATAAAAGATATAGAGAGCCCTCAGAAACATTATGAGGCGTAAGAGGTATGCATTGTTGCAAATAGAGAACATTGCAGAGATGTGGGTAAAGACGTATTGAACAGGAGAATGAGGAAATCATCTCACTTTTCATTATTCTTTATTCCAAATAGAATTAGAGGCCTCTTTCTCTTTCCTCTTTTATTTCATCCTGGTTACAGATCATCAGTGACAGACATTGGATTTTTTGAGTCCTGATTCCTTTGTTTCCAATGTATTTCTGCTGCTTCATGGGTAACAATAGCTTCTATATATGATCGTGGATTTATTACATCAATGCCTCAAAAGAAAAAGTTCACTCATTCGTAGTTGACTTATACAGTTATATTAATACTCGTTAAATATAATGCCAGTTAAAGTGATATTATAAAATTTTGGAAATATGAACTACAGTAATAATTTGGAACTAATTTTGTAAAAAAATAACTTTTCTCCAGCCCAGATTAACATTGCTTTCTTATAAATCACAGTAATTTCAAATATGGGTTTCAAATTATGTATTATGTGGACAAACAATAGAGTGAAGCAAATGTTCTTCTGCTCTAATGCTCAACATGATCATTTCAATTTTAATAACTATTGATATTTTATTGTGAAAAATAAGTATCATTAGAAAGCTGGAAATAATGACTAAATTATTATATTTCTTATTAACTTGCTTTTTCTGTTGAAATGCAGCAACTGAAAAATATGCTGTCAAATTTCAATCTTCTAGGCATACAAGTGGTATGAACTTGGGTACCAACGAGGTCACTTTGCATCTGTCTGGCAGCGTTCTCTGTATAATGTCAATGGCTTAAAAGCTCAGCCATGGTGGACAGCAAAGGAAACTGGTTATACAGAACTGATCAAGGTGTGCAATGTTGTTCTTCCTTTCTCTATAGAAACATTAGACTAAGTTGATTTTAAAATTGCTGCTTTGTATATTTTAGAATAAGCCCAATGAACATAACGGAACGTACTTCTAAACAGAAGTGAATTACTGTCAGTTCTGGTTTCTATACTAGCCTCAATTTTTTTATTTCTATTTTTGTTTTGCCTAATTTAATTTCTGCTTAAACTGTGATTTAAAAAAACTTGGAAAATGTGTATATTTTGCATGCATATTTCTCCTTGGATGAATCTCCTTTCCCTCTGCCTCCTGCATACGCAGCCTAAGCCCTCTAAGAAATGTAACTTTGGATGTAACTCTTTATCAATCCAAACAGAAAAGTAGTTTTTTAGGGAAAAAATATTAATAAAATTTGTTCTGTTTGTTACTTTTACTAATGAACATGGTCAATTAGCCTGCTTTTTTTAGTCTATTTTTGGCTCCTACCATCTGGACTAGTCCTTACAGTTTTTTTTGGGGGGGGGGGGTAAAGATTTTTGGAAGTGGTTTGCCATTGCTTCCTTCTTAGAGCTAAGAGAGTATGATGACCTGGAGCTGAGCATGAAAACAACACAGCCAGAACAAAGGCTTAACTCCCTTTTATTGTTCCAACTTTAGCCCAAAAGTTCCACCATTCACTACAAGTCCAGGAGCCAACCCCTAAACACGCACCTTCAATAGGTCCTGGCTGCTATTAGTCCAGAGGAGCAGCGCAGTACTGAGAGCAGCTACAGTTCAAGGAATTTGGTTTCAAAGAGAGTTCCTTGTCCCAGGAAGAGTTCCCTGGGACTGCAGCACCACCTAGAGTATAACTGTATCACTGTGACCTCACACTTAGCCAGGCCAGGCAAGCAAGGCCAGGACGCCATACAAGGCAAGCAAGACAAAGTGTCCAGACGTCAGTAACAGCACCTGAGAAAGGAAAAAAGCAATGCTTGTTCCCGACAAATGCCCCTCCCAATGGCGTCTCCCTAAATCTCATTCCCCAGGTAAGCCCTGTGAAGAGCAGGACGCCCTTCTCCTGAGATCCCACTTCCTCTCCATTCTCCAAATTCGGGGATCAGAGGGAGGAGGTAATTGCTTCATGGTAGAGCTCCATCGCTTCTCTGTTCTGCTGCCTGCCCTTTCCTCCCCAATCACTGACGACCCTTCCCAGGACCGAAGGACCTGGAATGCCTTGTCCTGCTCCTTTGATCGTTCTTCCGTTGGCCCTAGCTTTGTCTCGTCCTCCTCCTTGGACTCAGGCTCCAACAAGGCCATGACAGAGAGAATAAATAGTCCAAGATCACCCAGCTGACTTTGTGCCTAAGGCAGAAGTAGAACTCACAGTTTCTCAGTTTCTAGTGTGATCTCTTAACCATTGCACCAAACTTATGCTACACTGCCAAAGATATAAATAGAAAAGATAATTACACTTTAATTTAGCATCTAGTTACATAGGTTTGCACTAAAATGAGAACAAATTAATTTCTCACTACTGTATTTCTATTCCTGAATAATCCTTCAAAATATAAGACTGCCCCAGGCAAGACGTACTTATAACTGATAAGATTTATTTTCTTTCTTCACTAGAAGTTAAATTATTTCATCCTAGTTGAAATTGCTTTACAACAATGTATTGGAAGAATTAGATTGCATAAGTATGTTAAGTAGCAAACACAATGAATTGCATTGTTGGCCCATGAATTGGATACATAAAGATAGCTTCAGTAACTCAATAATTCACACTAATTACTAGGAGGCAAGCCTTTAATTGCTGAGTGTTGTAATTAGTGGATAACAGGCCAATCTATGTTTCCTTATGCTCTCATAACTCTTAGAGGTTTCAGTGGGACATTTAATTGCATATGGTAGGTAGAGGATATTGGACCAGCTGGATAAATGGAGAAATCAGGCTAGATTGAAAGAACTGAGAAATATTTGTACTCCTTGGCAATAGATGAAAAAAGTATTTATGATTACTACACTACTGTTCCTTAACTACAATTTATTTGCTCTAGTATTAATCTTACATTTAGAATATCATTTGCTGGAAGTTTTATTTTTGATATACATCTAAGACAGGCTTACCTGGAACTGGTTCTCCAACTGTATATCTCCAACTATAGTCACATTATTTGTGGGAAGAATACTACATTTATGGTCTTGCAATGCCTGAAATACTTTTTTTAAAATCACGTTCAAAAATGCACTGTCCTAAATAGGAAATTTTGAATTTGTAATCCCAAATCACTTATGAGAACACAGAATTAGGAAAGATGAGCAAAGTCAAATTATAGGAGGGACATTACAAGTTTTGTAATTTTGAGCTATTCAAAATTTTAAAAGACGATGCAGTAAAAGTGCTGCACCCAATTTGCCAGCAAATTTTGAAAACTCAATGGTGGCCACAGTATTGGAAAAGGTCAGTTTACATTCCAATTCCAAAGAAAGGCAATGCCAAAGAATGTTCAAACTATCACACCATTGTACTCATTTCACATGCTAGTAAAATTATGCTCAAAATCCTATAAGCTAGGCTCCAGCAATATGTGGACCGAGAACTACTGCAAGTACAGGCAGGATTTCGAAGAGGCAGAGGAGCTAAAGATCAAATTGCCAACATACGCTTGATCATGGAGAAAGCTAGGGAGTTCCAGTACTTCTGCTTCATTGACTATGCTAAAGCCTTTGATTGTGTGCATCACAACAAATTGTGGCAAGCTCTTAAACAGAATCACAAACTGGAATTAAGATTACCGGAAGAAATATCAACAACCTAAGATATGCAGATGATATCACTCTAATGGCAGAAAGTGAAGTGGAACTAAAGATCCTCTTGACTCAGGTGAAGAAGGAGAGTGCAAAAGTTGGCTTGAAACTCAACATTAAGAAAACTAAGATTATGGCATACAGCCTTCTCAATTCCTGGCAAATAGATGGGGAAGAAATGGAAGTGGTGACAGATTTTATTTTTCTGGGCAGATGGGGAGTGCAGCCAAGAAATTAAAAGACTTTTGCTCCTGGGGAAGAAAGCTATGGCAAATCAAAGCAGAAATATAATTCTGCAACAAAAGTGCATATAGTCAAGACTATGGTTTTCCCATTTACAATGTATGGCTGTGAAAGAAAGGCTGACCACCAAAGAATTGAGGCCTTTGAACTATGGTGCTGGAGAAGACTCCTGCGAGTCCCTTGGACTGCAAGGCGATCAGTCCTAGAGGAGATCAACCCTGACTGCTCTTTAGAGGGCCAGATCCTGAAGATGAAACTCAACTACTTTGGCCACCTAATGAGAAGGAAGGACTCACTGGAGAAGAACCTAATACTTGGAACGATTGAGGGCAAAAGAAGAATGGAACAACAGATAATGGGGTAGACGGTGTAACTAAACCAGTAGGCATGAGCTTAATTGGGCTATGGGTGATGGTAGAGGACAGGAAATCCTGGAGGAACATTGTCCATGGGATCGTGAAGGGTTGGACATGGCTTTGCAGCTAACAACAACAATTACTAGTCACCCTTAAGCATTTCAATATCCTGTCACAGGTTTGCATTAAAATTGCTAAGGTTTCATTCATGTGTTCAAGAAGAACTTGGAAGGTCCTCTGCTAGAGATGCTTCCGTTTGGATTTCTGCAAGAAGCAGAAGGTAGGAAATCCAAACAGTTTCCTACAATTCTATAATTCTATTAGGAAATAAAGGGGTAAGTGTCCATGGGCAGAAATATTCAACTATTGTGGGTTTTAAAAGCAATCAAGGAGATTTTTTTTAAAAAAAAGTGTATTCTAGTTTTTATTTTATTTATCTTATTCTAAAAATATGAAATATAAGATAAAAATCATGACTTGGTCTAGTTTAGGCAGACTGGGGAGTTTGCTTGTTACCACTCCGTCTAGTCTTCTCACTATTACTTTTTATCAGTTCCAATTCCAGTTATTAATTTCTGAGATTGATATAGCTGTCCATCTCTCAATAAAATGACTCTAGGCAGTTACAATGAAAAGAATTATAAAAACAATTAAAAATAATTAAAAATTGTTAGATCAGGTAATGGAGAGGCACACTCAGGCTTAGGCAACAACAGATCTTTATTTTAACAGAACAAGTATGTACAATCCAGCAAAGGGTCAGTCTGACAGCAGCCATTTTATAGGGAACTGTCAGACCCTTCGACCAATGAGATTGAATCTCTGTTCTCGCCGGAACAGAGGACCTTGGTGGAAACCATTATGACAGTTGCTAGTATCTAACACCCCTCCCCTCTTAGATGGAATCAATTGACTTGTGACGTAGTCACGCAGGTAGGTGGGCTTTTTGGTAGCTCTGCTGGACCTGCTCAGTTCAGTCGGAGGGTGTTCTTCAGACAGGTCGGACGGACTTGTTGGCTCTGCAGCTTCGCCTGATGGAAGCTCCTGGAATCTTTCACAGGCCGCGGCTGGAGTTTCTAGAGCTGGTTCGCTCGGAGCTCGCTGCGAGCCTGCAGCACAAGTAGATAAGTGTTGTGACTCAGCAGAAGTTTGCTGTGAGTTGAATCGGGATGCAGGAGTAACAATGCAGCTGGGGCTCGTTAGTGTGGTCTTCTGAAGATAAAAGGACTGATGGTGCCACGCCCTGGTTGCAGAAGTCAACGTTCATCATTCATCAGTTGTGGTTTGTTTGTGAGAGACACTTGGATAAGTGATTTGCTTTCTGTAACCCTGATTCAAGGAGACACTTGGAGAAATGATTTGCTTTCTGTAACCCTGATTCAAGGAGACACTTGGAGAAGTGATTTGCTTTC